TGTTAGTTAATGAGTTGCGGGCCGGAGAACCGTGCGGCATCATCCAAATTAAGTGTATAACCCTATCTTGTCGAATGAGTCACCGCCTGGATTTTCTCACCGTCTTTTACTTGGCTGTGCGCGCCCGGAGTAATCTCCCACTTCTCCAACAGTGTTGCTTTGCTCGCAGATATACCATATCCGGTAGACGACTCCAGAAATTCCTGTTGTCGCAGGGGACCTTTCTGCCTAATTACCTGACGCCTGATAGTTGACTCTGGCCTGAGCGTAACTCCAGGAGAAAATAGTGTGCGAAGATGACTGACGGCGTCGGAGACTAAAAGAAGTGGATAGAGCGAGATCTGGGAAGCTGTCGCGAAGAAGGAGACACAATCGATTGAGCAAAACTTCACGAACCTGATACTTCCGTGTCTCACTCGAGTTCATCATTAGAAACGAAGTCAGATAAGGGTATTGGGCTGCCTAGGCGTTAAGGTATTCATAGAAAGTAGTTGCCAGGTCACACACATGTCTATCAAAATTGTAAGCTCCAAAATGCATCGCGGATAGCTGCACGTGTTGCGATGATTGTCTGACTGGCCAGGTGTTGTCGTATGCAATTTACACACGGGTGGTCGAACAAGCAGAAGCAGTGAGAACGAATTCAGCTAGGCAAACAGTTTCTCTCCTCAAGGTGCCTTGAATCCGGAACATCAGTTGTTTATTTTTAAAACTCGCCGTGGGACAAGGAGAACAGCGCGACTGTGACGCTCTCTGAAAGACATAACTGCCCGCCCATCGCCCGACTGCTGCAGATTGCAGTCCTGACGAATCTGCGCTCTCTCTCCTGACCTGTAACGCTCCCTGCGAAAAGAACCTAGGCCTACTTTGTGCCAATTCATTTTTACCTCCAAATTCTGTCCTGTCTGCTTTTTAAGGGATGTTTTCGCCCTTAGCTTTCACGCCAGATGCCTGCACTTACGCCTGGTAGAACACCGACAAGCAATCGCCAGCAGAGTCAGGCGGATTCTAGAAGACGATTTCCTCTACTTATATGCCTGGGGAGGTGGAACCTGGCCGGAAATTGCCTACCCACCGCGTCCAAAGGCGACGGAAAAAGGAATGACCATCATAAGGGCCGTCATTTTTAATTAATAAAAATGTTCGGAAAAAGGGTCTTCTACGATGGCCAGGGTTGAGAGACAAACAAAAACACATCTCCCCGATTGCTGGGTCGGGCAATTAGAGCACGTCTTCATTTCCTCTCAAAAACTTGTGGACAGTCGTCAGCTTGAGTGTGCCATCAAGCTGCGTGCGTAAACAACGCATAAATTCACTGCAAGAAGCAAAAATAGCCGCGTCCCTGCACTAGAGCGGAAGTGTTTCCATGAACCAATGGCAGGAAAGGGGAAATTTTGGGAGTTGATTAAAGGACACGTCACTTATATGCGGCCATGAAATTGGTAGACTCCTTAGTATGCGGAATAGGCCGTTCATGATCGATGATGGCAAATTACCTGGATGAGCGTCCTTCCGGGTTATCTAAAAAACTGCAATTCCTAGCGGCATTGTAGCAGGGTGAATTCCGCTGGTTAATTATCAGGATTCCAGTTTTGCTCGCCAGTGGAAGGGTAGGTCGACAGGGTAACCTTCAAATCCAGCTGCCACAGTAAACCGTTTCCTCTCCAGACTGTTCTACGCCACCACTGTTCACTTAACCGGGATAATGGCTCCGATTGGAGCAATTCCACGCCCAGTAATCGCGAAAACATCAAACGCGATGCTGTAAACCTGTCAGCATGTGGACCAGACACCGCCTTGTATATGCGGGACTTATTGAAGCAGTCTGGGAGTCAGAATCACCGATCCAGACCGTTTGCGCAGCTGTCCAGGCTGTCATCTACGACACGGCCAGGATCACTCACTGGGACTGAAAACGTTTCCCGAATCGACCATCGTCCAGGTACTTCAGCCCAGTGTCTGCAGGCGGACTAGGTGTGGCTGAAAAAAGGACGGAAAGACCAGGTTTGGTCCTGCAGCCCCAGTAGAGCGATATCATGTGGTTTTCTAACAAAGAAATTTCGGTAGATGCGAATACGACGACTTCATTAATATCACGTGTTTACAGCTGCCTTGCCATTTTAATCCGGCGATTGACTGTGCCAATGGGGGAGGAGTGCTTATACGCCAACCTCGGTTACTTCGGTTATCGTTTCACAAGCGCTACCCTCCGCGTTGTTCGAGCCCTGCTTGCGCTCTCTTCATTGTCCTAATCCAGAGCAACGCCCAGGGGACTTGCGAATGGAATTGTTCCGACGGTGTGGAACTCTGCGGTTCTGCTACCGTGGCCCTGCACGGAGAATTAGCTCGCGGTTCCCTCCGTGGCCTTCCAGTTGTGATTGCGCCCTCCTTATCCTCTTAATCCAGCGAATGACTGTGTCGGGGAGGGGGGGGGGTGAGTATGTACGCATCACCTTCAGTCGCTTCCCTGAGCGTGCCTCGAGCACTGTTCGCGCTCTCTTTCCCTTCCTCATCCAGTGAGTGGGTAAGTTTGGCATGCTAAATAAAATTGTTCTATTAAGCTAACTATACGGTATCCACCAGATGAGATTGCAGAACTAAACCTCGCAGACGGAGAGTTAGCAGTCTTCACAGTCAAACATGGATATCTTCTCCAAAGAAGACAGTGCAGCTAGGGGATGTAGAAGTGCATCTTGAACAGCTTTTCTTGAATGCTGCATATGATGAACGTTTCAGATTTATGGAAAAGGCCTGGTCAACTCAGACAGTGTTAGCCTAGGATTCCAGCCGGAGGTGACACCCAGCCGACTACTTGTGCTATTGCACAGAACAAGTCTATAATTATGTGCTTAGGGATTCATACTCACGGCATATCAGCGCATCCCTCACCAGTAATAACCTTGACTCCGTTGAATCTACCAAGACGGGCTGAGAGCCAAGTTCTGAAAAGCTGCTGACCGATAGGATACATCGGTTTGCGTAGTAACAACACCAGAATGAATGAAAGACTTCGAATCAGACTGCAATGCTTCTCCATTACCATGGCGGTTATGACACTCTCACGCTTATGAAGTCCGAGCTAACTCTATTACGGTTTTATGCGCACGGATGGGCAGCCAGGCCATGCGTGATTCGCGAAGAGGATCTGTTTGGCTTTGCCAGTCAATCCACCCTCGCAAACCGCCGGTGACCTTGACATTGCCCTGCTATGGGACGGAGGTCCGTGAGGGAGGAGAGAGTACAGTAGATATTTCGTAAGTCTATCACTATGGGCCGGTTCATGCACGGGTCACCGTCTTGCGTCTGCCATGCCGTGGGACACACGGGGGTCATCGTCGTTCGCGCCTCCTTGCTCTCCCCCGCGTTGTCACGCTGCGCTTCTGTCCGCCTCACGCTCCTTGCAGATTCGCTGCTGGGACCGCGCTAGGCCTGTTACTAGCCTCGAGTTTCCTTTTTGGCCAATTAGCACCGCCCCTTCTCTGGTTCGCTGGCGGACAGTGGGACAGAGCGAAGGACGCACACAGGCGCTGGGGTCTAATCACCCCAGCGAAGGACAAAGGCACAACTTGCCTGGAGAGAACGCTCGCGGCGACTGCTTGCAGAGCTTTTGTGTACGCACTCCCTCAGCAGTGAAGGTTGTCCAACCCAATTCCTGCCTTCGGATTTGGGAATCTTTGTCTTATCGACCACACTACTCTCGACGATCAAACTGCTGTGTTCTCATGCATAAGATACATATATACGTATAACTTATATGGTGGTCTCCTAACGTTTATTCAATAAATGTACGAAGTATAGAATGGATTTCTAAAAAATAATTCACGCAAAATGGAAACCAGGTTGTCGGCTCACTGAAACGACAGGCCCACTAGCAATGGTTTTCATTGTCAGTGGTCTTTCATCAAGGCACGAAACTGCAGCTCAGCTCAGCAGCCCATATGATCGCATATTGTTATGCAGAAGTCCATTTTGAAATTTAAGCCAACCGCACATGCAAGTAATTTGCAAGGTGTGCTAAAGTACAGCATTCAAATTTGGACAAAGAAAGTTGGTCCAAACCTTTGGCCATGATTGGGCTTTGAAAGCATTCCGAACATGACTGAACAAAGTCCAGTAGGAAGAATGAGATGTCACCTCTGGAGTAGGAAGTATATTTGTCTGACGTTTCGGGCAATCGCTTGAGGCGGCCATCGCTCGAGGTGCAGTCGCTGATAATAATAATAATAATAATAATTTATTTAATGTTAGTTTATAGGCATTGTCAAGGGAAGCGATTAAACACAAATCCGACCAGCAGTGAAAAAAAAACTCCTGAGGTAAAAAAATAAGAAGGGTGATGGATGAACGAAGGACACTGTATTTACAGGATGCAATTACTGGGGGATCACATACCTACCATAATTAACAGTCCCACCTTCATCACCGATGGTTGTAATCGTGCAATGACTGCTCGTTCATTCACGGCTTATGCCAGCGGTCGCATTTCGTCCTTCTTAGTGGCTTCTCGGGACTCGCAACTTCGCTTCAACCGGTAAAATTCCGTAACCAAGTGTGGACTCGGTAAACTTGTATTCCTGATAGCAAGACCAGTAATGAGGCAATATTAAGTACCCTTTTACAGAGATTGTAATATAAAAGAAGGCGAAGGCAAGATCACTGGGACAGTAGGTTTATTTGCCTGAGCTTTCGAACTCGAACTAGAGTTCATCATCAGAGGCTACTCGAGTGCAGCAAATTGTGAACATTTATATCGTTCATCCTTGCGGGGGGGGAGGGGGAGTACGTCCGTGGTACACAACTTATCGTCGAAGCAGTTAAACGAAAAGGAACTTAGAGTGTTGAGCCACGAAGCCAATTTTAGCACTGCTGATGCCACCCCAGCCGACTTCATTGCTGCAGTTGAGGCCATGTTAGTACGAACTAACGCAAGCTAAGAGGCTAAACACACGGTGCGCCAAAAGGTTTCCTCTCTCCTGATGACGAACAGGCACGCTAGCAATATGTCACCCGCAGAAATAGAAGCAATGAAGGGATTAAAAATGGACAAAGATATTAAAGTGCTACCGGCCGACAAAGGAAGAGCAACAGTTGTGATGAACCGTGTTAATTACAACGAAAAGGCACAAGCTCTCCTGGACGACCAACAATCCTACAGGTCCGCACCCGCCTCGCAGGCCAAATCGATGATTGGCCAGCTGACTGGACTCTTAAGCCGACTCCGGCGTAACAATGTAATCTCGCCAGACGCATGGCGCCAGACGAAACCAACCGACACGGCGTTGGCCAGGTTATACGGACTACCAAAAATCCACAAACCCAACGTTCCTCTGCGGCCAATCGTGGCTCTGAAAGGCAGCCCCACATACAATTTAGCCAAATGGATGTCCCGAAAGCTCAATTTTCTCCGAGAGGGCTCTGTGACGTTCGTCAATTCGGCCTCCCAATTCCTTGCCGACATTCGGGGAAAAACTCTTCAACCCGACCAAATCATGGTATCCTTCGACGTTGTCTCACTTTTCACGTCCATCCCACCAGACTTGGCGCGCGACGTGTTACGCAAACGCCTCGAAGAAAAGTACAACGAAACGACAGGGCCGCTAAAGATCCAGCACCTAATGCAGCTCTTTGCATTCTGCCAACGAACCTTTTTCACCTTCGATGGCAGAACATACGAACAAATCAAAGGAACCCCCATGGGTTCCCCAATATCCAGCCTAGTTGCGGAATTGGCCCTACGAGAGCTGGAAAAGATTGCTTTCAGCCATTACGAACCTGCGTTTTGGCGCCGATACGTGGACGATACATTCGTCATTATTGAAAAGGACAAGCTATCGGGTTTCCAAGACTTACTTAACAGCATATTCCCCGACATTCAGTTTACGAGAGAAGACGAGGAGGACGAGAAACTACCCTTCCTGGACGTGCTCGTCACGCGCACACCTGACGGTAAACTCAGCACTACAGTGTACAGAAAGGCGACCAATATAACCCAGGTCCTCAACTATCATAGCAGCCACCCATTGGTGCACAATCGGGGCTGTGTGAGGGCGCTTTTCGACCGGGTAAAAACGCACTGTAGCGAGCCCGAAGGACGGATGCAAGAACTACGGCATCTCCGGGACCAATTAACAAAGAACGGCTACCCGAATAGCTTTATCGGTCGCTACATACGCGCACACGCACGCCGGACAAACGGAAGAGAGACACCAACAATTCGGCACTCCCTACCGTACATAAAGAATGTGTCCGAGGCTACAGAACGCATCGCGTTAGAGCTAGGCGTGGGCATCGCTCATCATCCAGAGGCCACCATGCGTAGCAGGATCATGAAAATGAAGGATCGGCTGGACGCAGGTGAACAGTCGGGCGTAGTCTATCGAATCCCGTGCCAAAAACTGTCCTTGCCACTACACAGGCCAGACAGGACGACGTCTGAGCCCACTAATACTTGAGCACAAACGGGCCGTTCGGAGAGGCGACCCAATGTCTCAAGTAGCCACTCACACGCTCGAGGAAGGCCATGATTTCGATTTCGCCAACACGCGGATATTGGCGCGAGCCGGCAACAAGTCAGGGCGAGAGCTGTTGGAGGCGTGGGTGTCGGACACCAACTCCATCAACAGACACATCGATTTGCCTGCGTGTTATCACGCGCTCCGTACACGCAGCCAGGTGGCGCCGCTCACATCGTCGCGAAGTACAAACGGCGTCACCACGCCGGGGGAACATCGTGGACCAGGCGGCACAAACCCTACCTAGCCACGTACGTACTCCCCCTCCCCCCCCCCGCAAGGATGAACGATATAAATGTTCACAATTTGCTGCACTCGAGTAGCCTCTGATGATGAACTCTAGTTCGAGTTCGAAAGCTCAGGCAAATAAACCTACTGTCCCAGTGATCGTGCCTTCGCCTTCTTTTAAACAAGAACCTGGGATGCACATATTCTCTCCCATTCGAGATTGTAATATGTCCATTCTCAGATATCCTTATTAGTCAAAATGCGTCACAGCGACGCCATCTGCACATGCAAATACGCATATTTTACCCAGAATACTCTCATTCCATGTAGACAAAAACAATAGGGAAATAATTTCATCGTACTTCGAGCTTCTTTAAGAACCACATATTCGTACGCAAGCTCGCATAAGCTCGGTCTGATCTGGGTTAGGAAACGCGATTGGAAGTATTTAATCATAGCTGTCCGTTACGAACTTCGAATTAACAGAGTCCCGTCCTGACCGTTCCCCCACGCCGATAGTTCACACCAGGTTCAGCGATATTCTTCAGTGACCGGTCGCCTATACCTTTGTGGATTAATTACGCACCTTACTCGGATCATTCTGACTTATTGCAGACTCCGATTGACCCAGGAGAAAACTAGGCCTTTGGGACTGTCGATTTTGAGGCCTATGTAGGAGAGACCACGTGGGCTCCATGTATCCGCGCTCGCGAATAACCGCACGGAGCCGACATCCAGGAAGTAGGTTAGAGGAAGAAGACTCAGTCGTTGGAAAAAAAGAAACATTTTCCGCCTGAGACCCCAAATTTACCCCTGAAGTCATCATCAATGCCAGAAACGGATGTGAAGCCCACAAACGTATAGCACGCATGTGGTATTCGTGACGTGCAGTTATCGCTGGAAAAAGTACCTACTAAAATTGTAAAATTGGAAATTTGCTCACCCGAGTCCCTAACTCCGTGATTGCTATATCGGCGTTGACGATTTGCGCGATAAGTACACTATAAGGATCAGAAAGGAGAGATAACCTTTGCTTGTAACCAGCAAAAGGATTTGACAAAAATCTTCCCAAACACCAAGTGGAGGCAAGGAAAAGCACGCGTCTCTGTCCTGACTGTCAATTTAGATAATTAGCGCACATCCTCAAGTTGCGCCAGGGACGCACGGATTGTTGTCGTCGCCCTGGTGCTGCCATCAGTTAGCATGAATAAACAACGACAACAGTTCGCGGTCAGGAAAAAAACAGTCTGGTGACTGCAGCAATTTATTTTAAAAACTTTCTCGAGTGCAGATGGGAGGGGGAAACGAACGGTTCGGTTCTAACGTCTGGATGCACGCAAACCGCCCTCGCATTCGTGAATACAGTAGATGCGTTAACTCGTGAATTGTTAGCCGAAATCCACAAATGCGTTTTCGACTCGAAAAGATCACGTAAGTAGGCTTGTACTATTGACCATCTTGCGGCATAATTTCAAGATATTTCAGTTAACTTTGGATGCGGACTTTCGAATGAATTCCCGGCCGCCTGCAGGGACTATGCTCTGTAAAAGACGAATACTTATGTAGTATTAATTGCTGTTATTCATTTTCGATACCCTTATATATATATATATATATATATTCGAGTATACCTCATAAAAAACACGCGTAAAAAATATTCATTCCTTCACACATTTTGAAGAAAATTACGTCTTCTCTGAGCTTATACTTGTAGTCAGGGTATAATTCGGTTATAAAAAAGTTTCTCTTTGTGGGATTTTTCAAGACCGTGAAATGCCCGTACATAAAACTTCGTGTCTATGTATTTGGTAGTGTGGCTTGTAAAGTTTATAATGTGGCGAAAATTCACTCCCAAATTTTATGAACTCCGTCCAATCCCCTGTTAATAGCGGGCAGAAGGTTATGATTTTCCGTACACCGAAAATATAGAGCCTGCAGTCTGGAAACACCGAGTGCAAATGAAACGGCAGGCGGTGTTCAAAATTATTCAGGAATTGGAAGAGTTATTTGAAACCTTGTTATACTCTTCCTTCAAGTGCAAAATCTAAGGAAGACGCAATTTTTTACCACATTGGTAAAATAATAAATATTTTTATGCGCGTTTTCTGTGAAGCATATTTTAACTAATAAAAGCATCGAAAATCATTCGAAAAAATTACGTTATTTAAGTAGTCATTTTTCGCAGAATATTGTTTTTGCAGGAGGCGGAAAAGAAGTTCGCTCAAGAGCGGGCATCCTGAAGTAACTGAATTATCGCGGTAGTATGCTGCAAGCTGTTAAATATTACACAACAACTAAAGTAATCTTTTCGAGCCGAAAAAGCATTCCGCAATTTCGGTTAAAATTTCGTGGGTAAGCACATCTACTATATATCCCTATTTTAACACCACGACTTTGCCACTGTCTTAAGTCTCACTGTAAGTCGTTTTAACTCAACTCTTCCACTTGCCTTTACTCTCTTCCTGTCGATGCCCGCTGCACGCGCGACTGAGCAGCTCACACGCGGTGGTGGTGGTGGTGATGGTGGTGATGGTGGTGGTGGTGGTGGTGGTGGTGGTGGTGGTGGTGGTGGTGGTGGTGGTGGTTTAGAACTTGCCATCAGGACCAGGCCATGGGTCATGGCAGGGATCTCGCTTATATGAGGGTACCCCTAAAGCCACAATAGTTGACTATTGAAGCCTGAATCTCAGACCTGAGGAGGACTGCGTTATCCCGTTAGTTGGCAAACTTCCATGCCACGATTCCTTGTGCGTGTGATCATTGATCCTAACACGTTAAATTTATCGTGGTGAGGAGTATGCTGATGTGCCATAAGGTTGGCTTCATGTATTCTTACTTCTATGGCAAGGCATCTAGAAAGCTGTGACTTTAGAGGTACTTGAGTTTGGATGCAACATTTATCTGACGAGACAGTGCAAATCCATGCCTACTCAGCAAGGCGTGTCGAATATAGCAATCCAACTTTCACTTATTTTTCGTCCCCTCCTAACACCCTGCAGTCGCCCTACTCCGAGCGCACGTCTAAACGCCGGGCCTCTCGCGGGTATCTGCACGTGCGCACCCGCACTGAATGCCATTCGCCCACTCGGCTTTCCTCCAACCGGCCAATCAGATTCATGGGCGAGTCAAGCGTAGCCTATCTCGAGACGCTTTGATGAATTCCTTGACGGACACTGGGGTCGTCGCCCGACCGGCACCGGAAGTGCCCTCGTTGTTCTGTACAGAATATATTATCCTCCTTACTGGCGTCCGCCTTCTCTTTCCTTTCGTGATCGGGTCTGAAGTTCGTGGTAGTCAGGGTCTCACTCGCGGCCTAGCCTATCCGCGATGGTTTCAACACCTGTGGGGTTATGTTTGGAGCCGAGGTAAATGCTGAATCCGAGTTGGCTTGTTCCCACTTCTTCTTCTTCTTCTTCCCTCTACCAAGCCTAAGCGACTTCTCTGATTTAAGTGGGTGGGCCCCGGAATTAGGCGTGGTGGTTGGCATGACATGACCTTTCACCAATCGTTTACTACGCCCGCGCACGCATTGGCAGTTATAGCAATTTGCCTCCAATTACCGACTTTCGCGGGACCAGTGTAGGAGGAGTTAACGGTTTCAGTGTGAGGACATATTACGGGTAGGAATCATGCGCCGTCTGCTTGTGTAAAGGCGGGTAATATTTCAAAGATTGTTGTCACGTATGCGCATACAGTATGTGACCCAACTCTTCGCATTAGAAGACGAGAGCTCAGATGACCATTTGGGACACCGAAGACATAACCCGTCTCGCAAAGTGTCCTCTTTTCCTGACAAATATGTTTTTAGGCAAGTTTATTTGGCAAAATACCTAAAAGTTTGAATTTAAATCAAATTCGGCTTTATATTCGACCACTATGCTAGACCAAGTCTCCCCGTCTGCGCGTGTTTATCTACCTGAGGGTGTTAAGCTAAACTGGAAACTTACCAAAACAACTGCCGCCCACTTGGAAAATGAGTTCTTCTTTTGTTTAAGTTAGGTGACTCAGGATGTAAACCAGCATGGTAGTTTTAGAAAAGCAGAAATTTTTCGATCCTTAAAATTCAAATATTTAATAATGCTATTCCCGCAATAATATCTGCAAACAAGCCTTTGTTTTGATGTATCCATATTTCCCTGTCATTTTTAAAAAGTGCATAGGAAATCGTACAAAAGTCCATCCCTAAGTGGTCATATTTACAATGACAAGATATTTTTATGCTGTCATTTGGAAACGGAAGCAGCGCAGCACTGACAATCTGAACGATATTTGGATACTTATACGGCCACACTGCGGACGTACCGGACATGCCCTCGTTGTTCTGTACAGAATATTACATCCCTCCCATTGGCGTCCGCCTTCTCTTTCCATTCGGGACCGGGCCTGAAGGTCGTGGTGGTTGGGGTCTCACTCACGCCATAGGCTCCTGCTATAAGCCTTTGAGGTGAGATACAGCGAAGGCTGGTAATTCCATATCGTCGCTTTAGATTGGATGTGTATTAGGAATGCTGTTAGGCACATCCCGTCGATCGCTGCGCACTGAAACCACTGGCCAGCTGATCTTTCGTTTTACTGTCTGCGGTTGTTAACTGATTGAGGTTTTGTGCCCGCCTCATTTTTAATTTGGAATACTTCTAGCTTTCACTACTGAGCTTAAAATCTTTTGGCTGAGCGAGGTTACCCCACAATCTGGTCTGTTGCGGTGACGATAA